AAACCTACTGGACCTTTTGCTCGATTTTTTTCAGTTTGTACCCCATTTTTGGTAGGTCGAGATATTTTTCCATGCAGCGGCACATTTTAAGCCTTGGATCTGGTTGAGAGCCAAGGCCAACAATATTCCGTGTCACCCCCTAGTAACCCTTGCTTCAATTTTGAGCCCCTAAGTCCACTTTTCCAATTTTTGGTGCATCTGGCTCTCTTTTTGGGCCAAATGCACAGTTTCGTCCTTTTCCCTCTTTTGTTTCTTTCCATTTTTGGCTGCCACCTCATTCCGGAGCTAGCCGTTTTGAGCTGGCCAAAAAAAAAACGGCTAGTTCCTCTCCATCATGAGATCTGATCTCAGATCCATGGTCCAAAAGAAAACCGGTCATTTGTCTTTTGCCCCAAGGACCATTTTCTCTCATTTTCTTCTTTTTAATTTAGATTTTATTAAGATATGGCCCCAAGGGTCATATCTCTGCAATCCGGATTGCCCTTCCTCATTCTAGGAGGGATGAGGTCACAGTTGGGACATGTCAGTCCCTACTGTGCAGGTCCCAATAGGCCGGCACACTCTCCTCCACTCTGTTCTCCCTTTTTGTCTCATTCTCCCTCATTTTTCTTTCATTTTTCATTTTTTTTCTTCTTATATTTCAGTTGTGACAAGTGTCAAACTGTTGTGCACCCTCTTTCTAGGCCTTGGGGCCTCATTCAAGGCCAGGTTCATAGCTAGTACTTGGTCGTTATATCTCAGATTTCAACAATGGCACCCCCATGCTCCTAGAGGGCTCCACTTTGCCTCCATTTGTCCAATTTTAAACCCCCTTTGCTCCGATTTTCTAAAAACAACCTTTTTCTATGTTGAGTCTCTTGAGGCTCTATTTTCCCATGCCTAGCTAGTCCGAGATTTTTCGAAGTGCGGGAAACCCTCCCAACACCATTATTTTACTTTCCTTTTTCTCCCCATGACTCTCCCACTTGCCCCCACTAGTGCTTGTGCTAGTGGTGCTAATATTTCATAATGTCTAGATCCTTGATCTCAACGGTGCCGTTTGCTTGCACAATTATTCCTTTTGTTTACTCATGGTTCCCTTCGGACATCCCGAGTCCCCGTAACTTTCCTCCATACTAGTTTCATTTTCTTATCCCACCGGCGGTCCCGTCGGCGCGTGGCCCGTTTTTCGACTTTTATTATTTGGACCCACTTGGTCCCCAACAACATTTCGGACGGTGTCCCATTTTTATTTTTCGGGTCCTCTTGCCCTTTGTGGTCCCATCATCTCTACATGCGTACTGATTTTTCTCGGTCGCCGTTTACCGTCTCCCATGCCGAAATTGCTTCTTTTTAGCATTTTGGGCTTGATGTGGCTCATTTTCCCATGGCCTAGGCATCCCCATGCAGTCCGTTATTCCTCGGACTGTAGTCATGACCATTTTTTTAGTCCCACAGCCCCACAACTTGCCCCATGCTAAAAGAAAATAAAGCGTTAAATTTCTAAGTGCATCCGGGCTCAATATTGGCTCCCGATGCACAAAAAACATGTGTTTCTCCTCCCCCAGGTAATCCGTTATTTTTCGGTTGCATGGAGCTTTGATTTTCTTTGATTTTCTTTGATTTGCAAAAGTCAAAGAAAATCAAAACCCATTGCAACCGCTATATTCCAGAATGAATCTGGTCACGGTTGTATCTCCCCAAGTGACCGTTTTTTACCGTTAAGGCATTTTTCTCTTTTCTTTTCTTTTCTCTTTTTCTTTTTTTTTCTTTTCCTCCTTTCTTGGACAGTAGGGACCTGCTAGTCCCTACTTGTGGCAGCCCCTACTGACGGCCAACTCACTCACTCCCTCTCACTCTTCTTGTCTTATTCTCCCACATTTTTTTTTTTTTTTCTCTTTTTTATAGCATGCCAAGTGTCAAGTGACCGTCAAGACCCTTTTCTAGCCCCTTCCTCTTAGTTTTGGCCCTTCCTATGCCGTAGGTGCAGTCCGTTATATCTCGGACTGCAATACTGGCCTTCTCATGCCCATGGAAGCTTCCCTTTACTTCTATTTTCCTCCCATAATGGCCCCTCGTACTCCGATTTTTTCTCGGGGGCTATTTTTCACATGGGGTCTCTGTTGACTCTATTCTCTTGAGGGAGGTTGATCCAAGATTTTTCGGATTGCTCCCATGCCTCCCATTTTAAGTTTCTTTACTTTTTCTTTCCTTTTCGGCCTTCCCGTTTGCTACCGCTAGTGCTTGCACTAGTGGTGCTAATATTCTTGGCCGTGAAGATCTCGATCTTGACGGTGCACCTTTGCCTTTATTATTTTTCCTCATGCGGTGCCGTCGTTTCTTCTTAGGACTTTCACATATCCCCGCCATCCGTCCCGGCGGCGGTCCTCGACACTTAGTCTCACCGGCAGTCCCCGACACTTAGTCCCACCGGCGGTCCCCGACACTTAGTCCCACCGGCGGTCCCCATCACTTAGTCCCACCGGCGGTCCCCGACACTTAGTCCCGCGGGTGGTCCCCAACACATTTTGCCCCGGATGCCATTATTTTTCCTTAGTCCCATGTGGCCCCGGGTGCCTTTCCCCGAGGTGTCCCACGTCCCTTGAGCATTTTGCCGCCCCACGGTGACCCTTCTCCCTTGTCTTTTTTGTGCCTTGCGCGTGCCTGTTCCTTTGTCCGCGGGGTCTCTAACCCGAGGCTCCCGTAGGTAGCCCCCATATTGGACCCTCGTTCTCCCGTTTCCCACGGCCTCCGGCCGTCCATCTTTCGACTCCCTCATTCCTTTGTCGTTGCCGTGCCACGTTCGCTGGTTTGAAGGTCCTTTGACCTTAATCTTGCTGAGTTCCAATAGTCCTCCCGACTTCATGCTACGTCCTATATGCCCTTGTTTCGGCGCTTATTCTCGTGCCGTCGCTGGTTTTCTCCTCCCGTGGTTCTTACCCCAGGACATCACTCCCTCCTGTGGCCTAATCCTTTGTCTTTTCTCTCTCCTGTCTCCTCACTTCAGATTTCTCTGTTGTGCTCAATTTGTCTATATTCAGTCTTTTGAGTAATGGAAAGTTATTCAGGACTCACCAGTCCCGACAACGTGCTTCTACATTATACACTGTTTGGATCTCCCGATTTTGCTAGGCAGATCCTTCCTATGCAGATCCGAGTCACACATTATGAACAAACATGATGACACCATGTTTGTTATCTTGTGTGATCCCACCTGTGGAAATTTTGAGGTAATCACTTGTATAAACACCGGGCCCCACAGCTCGAAGAACAGACTCAACGAGGGATCTTACACGTTTGAAGAGTCAGAGAATAGACGAAGAGAACTAGAATGGGAGGAAAAAGAAGAATCAGATAATGAAGAAGCAAGTGGGCTCGTATTAGCCTGGCAAATATTAGTGACGCAGTCGAATTGGTATCAGCCTACAGGATGGCGGACCCAGATGCCGTCAGAGCGCTTGCGGAAAGAATCCAAGACTGTCCGGAAGGAGGAAGAGTCGATCTTGTTTACCGACCTCCTCCTCCTCAGATGATAGGGCCACATATGTCAAATGCACAAGCAGCCGACCAGCATTTTTTAGGGGTGGGCTTAAGCAGGGCTCCAAAAGGCGGTACAAAACGGTAGACAAGAAAAGTCATCCGGTACCAGTACTGGTAAGTCAAGAAGAAGATGTGTGTTACGAGCAGAAGAGAGAGTTGATACGACAAATGAAAGAGTGTACTACAAACGAACCTTGTCCCATCAACAAGGAAACTGAGAAGGATTTGATAATAGGCGAACGCGGTTTTCCGACAAAGCAAGAAGAGGCTCAGGTAAAAGACCTGATACGTGAGAAGCATGAAGCATATGCCTTCAATGACGACCAACGCGGACGGTTGGACGTTGACAAAATTGAAATGATCCGCATTCATACTGTGCTTCATGAACCATGGAACGTTCGAGGAGCTACGTACCCCAACCCTGAGGATCGCCGAAAGGTGGTAAAGTACCTAGATGGGAAGATTCGCACGAATGTTGTTGGGTATTCTAGTGGACCATACGCTTCTCCTTGGTTCTGCTTTGTAAAACGAAATGGGGTGCTCAGATGGGTGCACGACTCGGGCTCACCCACACGCGAATGCGCCAGTTGAAAAATGCCATAGTACCATTACAAACTTTCTAGCCAAGTGGACTCATGGGAAACCGAATCTCTGGCCTAAATTCCTGAGAACGGTATTCTTTGTGGAGAATATCACTGTCAGAAGAACAACAGGGTATGTGCCTGCGACCCTCTGGTATGGTCAGCACGCCACATTTCCGATTGAGAGTTTTCTAAAAACATGGCGCAGACAAGACTTGGAGAACAATTTGACCCTTGAAGAGCTATTGGACCTGAGGGCAAGGCAGATCAGCGCCACAGAAGAAAGGATTTAGGAAGCGGTCATTAAAGTGATGGATAGTCGTGGAAAGGATAAAGAAAGGTGGGACAAACTCCTTAGAGTGAGGGTCGAGCCACGGCAAGTTGGCGAAACGGTATTGCTCTACGACTCTTCTTTGGAAATGCAGTAGTCGCGAAAGCTGGACAAACGTTGGCTTGGACCTTTCAAAATCAGAAAACAGGGACTTCATGAGGCCTATGAATTGGAAGAGATGGATCAGATTCCAAGGAAGGATTGGGTTTCAGGGTCCAGGCTGAAGAAATTCAAGGTCAGAGAAGAGGTGAGTCCGGTTTGATACAACGAACTTGCGTAAGCAGGGAATATGCTTATATATATATGTATATATATGTGTTTGTATGTCTAAGTATATACAGATACATATATGAATACATATGTATATATATATATATATATACGTATATGTATATGTATGGATATATTGGGAATATATACGTGTATATACATACGTATATATATATATATATATACATATGAGTGCAGATAGAAGAGTACCTTGTCAAGCTTGTATTAATGATGAAAAGTGTTGCCTTGATGATGATGACTTATCCTTGTACCTGTCATTGCTTCCTCTCTATGTGCAGGCGTGACCCTTGGGGAGAAGTGGCCATGGCCCAGCGAGGAAGGATGGCAGAGCCCTCTGGACCAACCTTGAGAAAGGGAGGGCAGAGGAGGGATCAAGGAATCTCAAGGAACCTGGAGGAATTACCAGTCTATAAAGCAGGGGAAAACTTGCGCGTGTTTTGGAGGAATTTTGAGGAGTATGCATTTAGGCGAGAGTGGGATGATAAGATGAAGCTCTCGAAAGTGACTGGGGTGGGGGGATATAAAAAGAAAATTGAAGGAGTGGCAGCTGAGTGTTTGAGGTGGAAGACGTGTGTAGTCAGATTGTGGCAGCTCATGGGAAACTTTCCAAGGGACGAGATTGAGGACGATTTGACATTTGATGGGACAAACCTTGATCAGTTTGTTGACAGCCTACCACTATCTGCAGAAAAGGGTGGATGGAATGACGAGGAAAAGCGAAAGAGGTTGATGGAGAGAACAAAAAAGAGTGAGAGTGAAGAAGTGAAGAGGATTGTGGAGGAAGTTTGCACTTGGCAGGGAATACTAATAAAGCGGCAGATGGCATATACCCAGATAAAGCAAGACCAAACAAGAAAGGAAAAACTACAAGAGAAGTGATTGTGGATTGGAAGGGAGGAGGATGAGTTGCAGAGAAAGGCTCAGGAGGAAGGAGAGGAAGAGGATGTGCCATTGAGGAACTTGAGAAGCAAGCCAAGAACTTTTTCCAAGGACAGGAGCAGAGGATCTGACCAGGCAATGGAAGAGGAGAAGGCAAAAAAGAAGGCGGCGGTAGAAAGAAAAAGGGGTCAGGAAGTGAATAGGGCACCGAGGGCCAAAAGGATTGAAGGAAGAAGATCAGTTGAGGATGAAAGAGAAGGAGTGGAGATGGAGAGAAGTGAGAAGAGAGAAAGAACAGAAAAGGATAAGGCAGTGGAAGGGGAAAAGGTGGAAGAGAGAAAGGTGGAGTATGAAGGTTCATCTCAACAAAAAGGGGAAGCAAGAGAAGGGCACATAAACAAAGAAGAGAGAGCTCAGAGGGAGAAGAGGAAGAAAGGATGGAGGGACTATATGATTAGAATGCTACAAGATGATGATCTGTCTGTAAACTCCACTTCAGATGTGAGGTTCAAGAGGATGCTGCTTTCTGAACTGGTGGTAAGTTCCAAGCACTCCACCAACTTGCACAAACTGATGGGATTGCATGAAATGTTGGATGAGAAGCGCACAAGGCTCTTCGAGGAATATGCTGATGTTGCAAAGAAATTGGATGAGACGGAGAGGGGAAAGAATGAGAAAGAAATTAGAGAGGACATGGAGGCAGTGGGAAAGGGGCTTCAGGCAGAGCTGAAGGGAAGCACTGAGCTCTTTACCCAAAGATTCTTGGACTATATCCCTGGGTTCTTGAAGGAGATGAGCAGGTTAAGAACGAAGGAAGAGGAAAGGGATGCCCATGTGACAAGATTGACAGAGGATTTGGAAGGGATAAGAAGGGAAATAGAAAACTTGAAGAAGGGGAAGGAAAAGTTGTTAAAACAAGTAAGTGCTTTGGAGGTTTCCCTGTCCCAGAAAAGCAAGGAACTGGAAGATGAGGTGGCAGAAAGGAAGAAGATGGAAAAAAAAGTTGAGAGTTTGTGCTCTGGGATCAGTCTGCAAGGGGAAGACATGTAACAAGTGATTACAGAAAGAGAAAAGATGAGTCAGGTATGAGAGAAAAGGTGGGAGGAAGTACTGGAAGGGATAAAAGAGCTCAAACTGAGTCACCAGGAAAGAGAGAAGGAAATCACGAGAGTGGTAGAGTGGAAGAATGAGGGAGGGTTTGAGATCAAGATGGCAGAAGGAGAAAGAAAGGTTCCTCAGTCAAAGGAAGGAGAAGGAAGGATGGGAGAGCAAACCGAGGTTGGAACGGAGGGACCATCCAACAAAGAGCCACAAGAAGAGTCAAGGGTTGAAGGACCTCCTGCCTGAGAGGAAAATAAGAGAGAATGCGTGGGGTTGCCTCAGCAGAGGGGCATCAAGAGAAATGAACAGCCTGGTGTGGAAACATCAGAAGGGGCTGGGAGTCAGGCAGAGATTTCAAATCGGCCTCTTGCTAAAAAGACCAGATATAACAAAGTCAAAAGTAGGTGCTTCTTCTGCATGAAAGAAAGACACTTCAGGGATGACTGTGCGATATTGGCTTAATATATTAGGAAAGGGATGGTCAGGTTTGACTCCAGGGGAAGACTGGTTGTCAGCAATGGACAAACAATTCCCAGGACGCCCGAGGGTGGCAGGGTAGAACTCCAAAGGATGCTGGGGCTGACCGCCGCTTTCTCAGGATATGAAATAGGTAGGTTGTAAGTTAAGATATTTTGATAAAAACGGGGAGAACAAATAAGAGAGTAGAGTGTAGTATGGAAAAAGGGGACAAACTTTTATTCTAGGATTTGGTAAGGGTAGAAGCTTAAGAGTGGGAGGTAACATAAGGGGAAATGCATAAAACATTTTGGAGTTCAGATGAGAGGTGAGTGGGATAAGTCACATATGTGACTCATTGTATCATACTTGTATTTTATATATATATATGATCAGAAAGGGGGGGAAATGAGCTGGTGACCACAAACACTTTTCATATTGTGAGTGTATCCTTGTCCACGATTTCAAATCTTCTTTTATGGATGAGTACCTCCCTTCGTCTATCACTATTTAGATCCTCTGAGGTCTGATAATGGTGGTAGAGGAACGGGTGAGTCAGTGTATGGATGGAAGTCGGCAGAAGGATTGAATGATCTGATGCTGAATTGATTTTATGTGTATGATTGGAATGTCATGCTATGGTATGGGTAAATACCTCTCATGGGGTAAATATTGTTTTGCCAAATGAATTCGAATGGGATGTCTGTTTTGGATGGATCAGACAAGCAAAAAGTCAACATGCTTGATTTCAATTCAAATATTGGTTTTATATATATCAATGACCCCGAGGTGCGAGCCTCACCAAACTAAGATCAAAGACTTGGAGGGCACAACCGTGAGTGGCAACCTGACGATAGCTCAATTATTTGAAAATCTCATTTATTTGGTTTATTTTAAAAAGAAGCATCGTTCATCCATCTCAAGGGTTAACCTGAGGGCATAAAATACCAAGCCTATCATAGAAAATTGGCATCGTTTGGACGTAACTCCAAGCGTGGGCTGCTGACCTAGCATAACCAGGCAGCAGACCCTTCGATTATGGCCTAGAAGAGAGACTAGAGGGGATGGTCACCCCGGTGAAGAAATCTATTCAGGTAGGAGTCGAAAGGGTCGAGATTAGTCTTGAAATTGTGAATATATTTGAAAAGATAAGTCGAATATCCCATCGTTGCGCAACCAACGAGGGTAACCACCGATAAGCAACAATGCGGTGGGCCGCAACTCCGGCGTGATCAGCAGGACTGTGGTGGGTCATGATCGGGTCCCGGAACTGTGCGCATCACCCCGCACCGTGGCCAGGCTAACCATCTCAGTATCGATCCAATTTTAACGGATGTCCCGAAGGACTTGTGCACCTCAACCTGCTTCGCGACCGGGTACGGCCCCGAATCTTTCTGCCAACGTCATTCCTCCGCAGCTAACGCTGCGGATCTTCCCAATATTGCCCCAGATCTACCGGTATCTCGTGAGGCTTGCGCGCCCTAACGCCCTATTGCTTCCCCAAAGGTTAGCCGACCCTCTCTTTTTTGCCCCCTTTATAAACCTAGGATCGTAAACAACGAAGGGGATACAATAGAGTAAAAAGATAAACTTAAAATAAGACCCCAGAACAAATTAGGGAAGGGGATCGTCAGAAGGTAAATGGGTTTATAGAGGGGAGGCAATAATTACCTCTCATTTCCCTGCCTCCAAAACTCCTACTGAGTCCCAGCAGAGCTCCTACAATCGGTGGGGCGAACCTCCCACAGAGGCCTTGGCGCGGATTACGGGTTGCAGTCCCGCCTGCCGCCTTCCTCTCTGAACTAGACTAGACTCAGATTTAGGAAGGCAGAGAAAGAAGTTTTCAGACACTCAAGATCCAAGGAGGGTGCTTTCAGACTCGTGGGAGAGGGCCTTAAAGCCTTGGCGCGCCGTGGTCAGGCTGACCTTCTAAGTATGGATCCAATTTTAACGGATGTCCCGAAGGACTTGTGCACCTCAGCCTGCTTCGCGACCGAGTATGACCCCGAATCTTTCTGCCAACGTCATTCCTCCGCGGCTGACGCTGCGGGTCTTCCCAATATTGCCCCAGATCTACCGGTATCTCGTAGGGCTTGCACGCGCCAACGCCCTGTTGCTTTCCCAAAGGTTAGCCGACCCTCCCTTCTGCCCCCCTTTATAACCCTAGGATCGTAAACAAGGAAGGGGATACAATAGAATAAAAAGGTAAACTTAAAATAAGACCCCAGAACAAATTAGGGAAGGGGATCGTCAGAAGGTACAGGCCGCGGGCCTTACTAGGAACCCCCCCTTGACCCTGCGGCGCCGGGTGACGCGCGCAGTTCGTCTCTTATACACATCTAGATGTGTATAAGAGACAGGGATACAATAGAATAAAAAGGTAAACTTAAAATAAGACCCCAGAACAAATTAGGGAAGGGGATCGTCAGAAGGTACAGGCCGCGGGCCTTACTAGGAACCCCCCCTTGACCCTGCGGCGCCGGGTGACGCGCGCAGTTCCGGGAATGAACCCGGGCGCGGGTCAGGCCCGGTACGTGCGAGGGGGGAGGGAAGAGTACCTGACCGCTTGCAGTTGCGGGGAGGAGTTACTTGTGCAAGGCGGGTGCGTGTGAGGTCCGGGGATGAACTCGGACGAGAGGCAGGTCGGGTGCGCGAGCAGAGCCAAGGAAGGAGGCCGAATGGCCTTTGAGGCCACCACGGCGCATCGCCCTGGAGGAGTCCCTCGGGACATCTGTTAATATTGGAACGATACAGGGAGGATAGCTTGGCTGCTGCGCAAGGGTGGCACGCTCGACTTGAGGGAAACGGGTAGGGGTTTTGGGGCGTGCCTACTTGGATCCGGCCTCAAAGGGGGGCCAGATCCGTGCACAACGCCGACGAAGTGAGGTGGCACTGGGGCCACTCGAGTGTCGAAGAGCCGCGGGCGTTGATCGCGCCCGTAGTCCTTCGGGATATTTGTTAAGGCGGGAGCAATGCAGAGGAAATTAGCCTGGCCCCCGCGCCTGGATGACGCGTACAAAAGAAAGGGGGGGGGCGAGCTTTAGCACTTTTTGCCAACGAGTTTTTCTCGTCGCCCTGGGACCAAGCGCAGCGGGGACGTCCTAAGATGACGGTCGGGCTGTGTAGCGCTAGAGTGTCAGGTTGACGTCAACCCGGCCAAAGAACAGAGTCGGCGAAGAGGAGATGGACAATGCGGGTGGGAGGTGGTGATCGCTCGCGATTCTTGAATAGAATCGGGCGGGGAAGGGGAGTGTGTGTCAAGGGTTTGGAGGATGGGCGATTGCGATAGTGGAGGCGGATTAGAGGGAGACAGCCTGGGTCTGGTGCTGCTGGAGTAGAAAGTTGCGCGGGGGGGGCACGAGCGATGCACCTAGCCGGGATCCGGCTATAGATTCAGTTTGAATTTTCTCCTTCGGGTAGTGGGGGTAGTACGAGGAAGGTGTGGAGAGCGGAGGACTTACTTACCGGCCGGTGCATCGTTCAGCAGGTCAGTGAGGGCAGCGGGAACAGACTGGGAAATCAACAATGCACCCTTCCATATTGTAGTGAGAGATTCGCTCGCTCCACTCACTGCAGCAAGGGGGGGGGGCAAGAAGCTAGCCACGAGGTCGGGGGCTTACCTGATGGCCGGTGTGGAGCCCATCTCGCCGGTGAAGGATTATATACACACAGAAAAGGGGGCCAGGTAAGAGAGAGAGAGGACAGAGAAGGTATGCTTACCTCGGTGAAGGCGGTGAGGGGTGGACCGGAGATTAGGCCGCGACGCCGAGCCGGGCACTAACCCGACATGTGAGTTGGAGTCGTAGCTGTCGGCTGGCACTTGCCTTCAGGAGAGCCGATCGGCTTGCCGCCCCTGACTATCGGTGTGTTGGGCCGGTTACAACGTTATTACCGCTTGTTCAAGGCATCTGCAGTTGTTGCTCCCATAGTGCATTGTTGCACAGGGTGTAAAGATGGTCTGTGGAAGAAGGGTGCCGCAGTTGAGCCTGATCGCCGCAACCACTGTTGGTGATGTCGTGAGGACAGTGGATGTTTAGGGCCATGGAATTGCGGCGCCATTACAGAGGATGAGGGAGGGATATCAGAAGAAGTGACTGAACTGCAGGAGAGGCCGAGTTCTGCGTATCACTTATAAGTTGTTGCTGCGTGTTCACCACAGGATGCTGCTACGCAAGCTACGGTCTGCGGCATCCAGGTGCACAGTATCACTGCTATTGTCGCTATCGACCGCTGCTGGGTATCTTTGCTGAGTTCGGCTGCCAGGTGGGGACCGCTGTTGCTGTTTTTGAGCATGCACAACTACTATCGTTCCCGACCGTGCACAGATTATCAGCGATGTGTTGTGTGCCATTTGCTGCGTTTAAGGACCGTGCCCAACTGCGGGCGACTGCTACTGTTGTGTGTTACTCAAATACCACCGCGACTACTGTTAGCCACTACGGCCCACTGTGTGGCGGCAACTGGACTAAGAGGGAAGGCAACAAAAAGGGGGTGAGAAACAAGCTATGGGGACTGGGGACCTGCCGGTTTAGTCGAGGCTGGCTGCAGTGCACAGTTGCTGCTTATTCTATCGACCGGGGG